ATATGGTATGCGGTTCGTTTAACGCTGTGTCCGACACCCTTCTGAGCTCACTGCTGGTAATACCGGTATGACTATTTATTACCATACGATACTTCGTCGGGGCGAGATACCCCAGAATGGCACTGGACCTGCGCAGCTTTCTCATTCGACACTGTCTTTGGACATTTTCGCTATGGCTGGAAATCGCCATCACATTCCAGTAGCCATAAAGCAATAATATGTCACTATGTCTGCCCAAATGTCATCCAAGGCCGGTTGCTCGAGTGAAGCATGCAAGTACTACTTAATGCTGAGCTCACTGTGCTGGCATGATCCGAAGTAACAGAGACAATGTTAAATATACCATGATGAGTTGGTGATAAATAGTCATACCGGTATTACCAGCAGTGAGCTCAGAAGGGTGTCAGACACAGCGTCAAACGAACCGCATACCATATCATAGAAGTTGCGCAGTCCAGTACCATTCTGGGGTATCTCACCCGACAAAGTATCGTAATAGGCGGGACCCTTTTGTTTGGCCAGCTCCACAACTAAACAAAAGCGGTGAATGAACAAAAATGGATTCTGGCCTATCGATTTGAAGGTAGCTGTAATATGTTACATTCTCTATAATAGATTGAGTAAAATACTATACAGAAAAGGTTCTGAGAATTTTCAGTGTCAGATACAGGAGGGAGAACCCCTTGATAAAAACGGGGCAAGAATAACCCAGTTATCCATGAATTGCCAGTGCTACAGAAATGGAAGTGAACACATATTATATAAAACAAGATGAGATGTACAAGTGATCCGGAGAAGATGGTTAGTGCCAACGGACCTCGAAAAAGTTACAATGGTATGTTCTCCTTGCTCGACAAAATATTCTTGTCTGGATTCTCCGACCTCGTCACTGCGGACTTATGCCTCACAGACTCCATCTCGAAACTTACATCGTCCATGATACACCACTCCTCCTCGGGCATTTGATCTAAAAGACTTGGCTGCGCCTTCAAACTGCTAAAATCAACGCGGGCGGGAGAGCATTCTGCATCTTCGGTGATTGCAGGCGCCACATTTGCGGCTCGGCTCTGTTGACGTTCAGCGAATGTTGCTGATGCACCTCCCGGCGTTGGTTTTGCAGGCTTGAGTTTTGAAGGCAGTGCGCTGCTAAAGCCAAGGCCCAGCGAATCGAATTTGTTGACGAAAGATGCAAGAGCACGACGTTCCTCCTCAAGCTTTATCCTTAGCTGTACTCGGTTCTTAGCACCATAAAAGACACATGTCAACATGCATAAACTGACCTTCTTTTCTTTATCCAGCTGCCTGACAAGTTCGGCCGCCCAAGCCTCCTTTTCTTCTCGCTTTTTTACTTCTTCTTCAAGCTTACCGACCCACTCCTTCTCAACGTCCTCTCTGACGGCTCTCAGAGGCTCCCCAAGATTATCCTCATACCCACACACTACGATTTCGAGCTCACGAATCGTCTTCGCTTGCTCAGCAATGAGCTTGTCTTTCTCGGTTTCTGAAGCATCCGGTGGAAGTTCTGGGCGAGAAAGGAGAGCGGCTTCTAGGGAAAGGATTTGACTTGACTGTGACTCGAGTTGAAGGCGAGTCGCGAGAAGCTCTTGTTGGAGCTGTCATGAACCAATGTTCAACTAAATAGGATGGTCTAACATTATCGAGCCTACAAACCTGGTATGGTGACATATCGAAATCAACTTTGGATGGGCTGGCGGGACGTGATTCGTCTCCTTTACTTTCATCAACCGTTTGAGATGTCAAAATGAGCTTCGTAAGCTGCTGGATTCTAGAATTAAGATCCTTCATCGCTTTTGATTCATCGATTTGCTGTGTCAAAAATCAGTCTGAGAATTATGTAGCGGGAGGCTGATATTACCTCGCGTGCTGAGAGCCTGCGAGTTCGAGCAGGCGCTTCTGCTTCTCGCTCTGAAAGTTTATTCTTGAGCTCCTCAATCTCTTTCCTGTATCGTTCTATCAAAGCATCAGTATCGACAATCTCTTTCTTCTTCGCATTAAGCTAGGAGTGCGGGGAATCAACATCCTATGAGCAATATACAGGAAGAACACGACGAACCTGCACTCGTTTAATCCTCTGAGCAAATAAAAGCGTACTCGTGCTTTCTGCCACGGCAGTTGCATCGGGATTGATGGTGCATATGACAGAGATTCGAGCATCTCCTGATAGCGAAGGCTGAAGCAGCCGTGTTAACTTGGAGTTACGGTAAGGTACGTGGTCACTGAGAAAGACAGTTTAATTATTCCAAGTATAGCAGAGGATGACGCCTCTGACTTTTTATTCTTCGCAGCGTTCTCTGCAAGAGTGCCAATAACGCTCCCAAGTGTCAACAGGCTGGTGTTGATGTACTTCCCCTCCCTGGTTCTCTCTTTATCCGAAGTAGCTTTTTCGGAACCAGCAAGATCAATCAGGCTCTGGATGATGATTTCCAAATATTCAATGACCCCACTGAGACCGAAAAGAGAAATGAAACCCACCAGCACCGAAGTCTGCACGCTTCTTCCTCCGATGGTCTGTAATCGAGGACCGCCAGGTGTCGGTGGGCGCGTGCCGGGAGTTTGACGGCCGCTTGGTGTCTCGCTCCTTTTCTCTCCCCTTTCTCTGCTCTCCACTACAAGTCGGAATACGCTGTGGCTTCTACTACTCCGCTCATTCCAGTCTGTGCTAGCTGTTCTTCTGTTCCTTTCTCCTCGCTCAAGGACTTCTTTGACGCTCTTCAAGCTTGTCACGACTTCTTCTCGAAGTGGGACTAGAATACCCGAACCCTGAATTTGAACGGGCTGAGCAGCAGACATTGAAGGTGGCGCGAGTAGGTCATATATCGTTTCATTGTAAATTTCGAGGTAAGAACATCGAAGAAGATATTCACGAGTGGGTGTGCGGCGGATGTAACCAAACACATCCTTCATTGCACGCGGTATTATGCCCGGTTGATCTTCGGTTCCAGACTAAATAAAACTATGAGGAAGTTCAAAAGTGGATGCAAAGGCGCGGTCTCACAAGAGTAAACGTTTTCCCGCTGGCTGTTTGGCCATAAGCGAAAATAATAGAATTGTAGCCGTCCATGGCAGCGCAGACATGGCCGCGAGCAACAGCATTGTAGACCGGCCTATTCTCGGAACCCGTAATGACTTCGTCAAAATTAAACTCTGGTGGTGTGGTGGCAGTTGACTTTGCGTATTGAGGGAAAAGCTTTATGGTGCGTTGTGCGCTATGATCCCATGCGGGATGCGCCGAGGTGGTAGGGCGGATTCTGTATATTGGAATGGTTTCAGTGTATCGAGAATAAGCTAGAGGAGCAAAATCACCTTATAGATACAAGAACCTTGTCTTCCTTTCCGTAATTAGGTCCAAGGATAGTGGCCTCATCGATGTCTGCAGAAACATCACCGGGCTCAACGGTCTGAAAATCGACTAGTGCATCTTCTGGATCAATCCGACTAACATCCATATCACTCGTGGCAACATGAGAGGTTGGAGTTTGACTCCTAGGCGTTCCAGGTGTGCGAGGGCGAGTTCCTTCGAAGGACTTCTTAGCTGGAGTTGCAGGCACAGTTGCAAGAGACGACTTGGTTGCGGCAGTGGTCCGCAGCCGGGACTCAGAAGATAGGGCTGCCTTAAATTTCTTTGCTGTCGAACCAAGAACGCTACTAGTCTTTATTGCAGAGGGGAGTTCACTGCTGGATGCAAAGGAAAGCGGACGTTTGGGTGTGAAAGGTACTGATCGTGTGAGCTTGCTGGGGGCAGGTGTGGATGCCATCGTTGACATATATCTCGCGGTGGTCGTCGTCTTCAATAAAGGTGCGAAGTATGTATTTGCAGATTGGTACAACGGACGTAAGTTGTTCAACCCTGGGAATAGAAACGCGTAGTACTGAGTTCACGTGCCAGCTCGGACGCGTCGCACCACGTGACTTTACAAATTAGTTGAGCCATCGAAAAGTCTGTCACGGTGCACCACAGTCCGCTACTCACATCAGACCATCGGGCATGGTGGAAGAATTGAATGTCATATGGAGACATTTCATCTCATGACTGAGCGGTCATACAATTCTCTAGGCGTGAAAGACTGACCGACGTATCAAGGACCTGAGATCATCCTCCTTCCTTCAACTTTCTGGTCGATTCAAGTTGGTACGGTATTCGAATATATATAGCCCGATCAACAAATCTTCGATTCATTCTTCCTTGCATTTCTTGGCAGAGTTCCGTGGCGCCCTCCCAAAATGCTTAGCGCCTGAAGTCAACATAGCAGCAAACATTGCCTCAAGGCCAGCGCCCACCCTGTGTCCAACTTCTTGTCTTACACTACTTTGATTAATTATTCATCATGAATAACCCAATTCAATTGGGGAACCCCGAGTCCAGCTCAGCTCCTCCTCCAGACATCGAGACGCCCAACGAAACAAATACTGCCGCTGAGCGCCGGGTAAGTGGTTCATGTTCATGAAGTCGAAACTCAATGACGATCCATCCTTTCTCTAGGGCCGACCCCGTGGCAAAATCCGTCGCTTGCTGGGCAAGGTTAAGAATGGTGTCGTCGAAAAGATTTCTGTAAGTCGAAATAAATACTCAGTCCGGGTTTAAGGCTGATATCTTACGCAAGCGCTCAAAGTTCAACGATTCACGCAGCCGCGACCCCGTTCAGGTAGGCGACATTCCGATTTTTGCTCTCTGTCTAACTTCTACTGGCCACACCGGGCTCAGGATACTTCTGCTGTTGTGCAACAAGGCGCCGATCCCCAATCTGTGAACAAGGCACTTCATGATGCCGGTCATGGTACAGATCAGATGAAATCACTTTTGGGACGTGCGAGACCCGTATTATCCGCAGGCAAAAATGGATCAGCAACACTTGATGATGTAGACAGTATAGAGACCACTTATCTCCAACCCCTCAGGATATTCGACGCTATGATCGGGACGATAGCAGATGTATGTTTTCTCTCTTCCTCTTTAGAACTAGATCAACAACGTTCTGCAGGTGCATCCGTATGCAAAGATGGCATTGGGCGTGCTTTCTTGCGCATCAAAAGTACGTTTTTCTTGCCGTTATTCGTATGTCATACTCACTTGTTCTGCATGCAGATAATTCTTGCTCAAGCGGATCGCGACGAAGCGGTGCTTGACCTCTACAAGAAGTTGGGTCAAGTGTATGGCTTCATAACGCAAGACGGCGCGCTTCTCAAGATTTCGTCGATGAGGAACATCTTGGGACAGATTTCTCAGCAGACCCTAGAATGCGCCAATTTCATCAGGGATTATTCAGAGAAGAAAAGCTTTTGTGAGTCTCCAACAAGTCTTTACACTTGGCAGATTTTTATTCTTATTACAGGGGAGAGACTCGGAAAGAATATCGTCTCGGAAACAAACGATACGATACAACAGTATAACGATGTGTTGGATGCGCTCATGCAAAACTTCCGCGACCAGGTCACTCGCAACGTAGCCACCTATATTCACGATACAAGTAAGGATTGTATTTTCTTCTGACTCGGCATCCATTCATACCTCTACAGGCGAAATACTGGAATTCAGTGGTATGGCTTATGCGGAGGCCGCAGGACTAGATACTAGGAAGCGATGCCTGCAAGAGACGCGCACAGACATTCTCTCCGACATCATGGGGTGGATCAACGACAGCGGAGATGACGTTCCGCGCGTGCTATGGCTATCCGGACCTGCCGGAACGGGTAAATCAGCCATTGCTCACACAATCGCCAGCTCGTTCATCGGGGTGGGCGGACTCGGTGCTTGTTACTGCTTCGACCGAAACACGGAGGATCGCCACAAAAAGGTTTTCACCACTATCGCGCGAGACCTGGCTGACCGTCATCCGGAGGTGAGACGAGCGTTGGCGCATGCCGTCAAGAACCAAACTGCGCTCAAGACTACACCGGATGTCGTACAGCAGTGGCAGAAGCTTCTCATAGAACCGTTAGGGAAGCTTTCTGAGTCACCCATGGGGCCCGTTGTGATTGTTATCGACGCACTGGACGAAAGTGGCGAGGCAGTGGAGACGCGTAGCGACCTTCTTCGCATTCTTTCCGGTAAACTTCGAGACCCGACCATTAGCCATATCACGAAACTCCCGAAGAACTTCCGGATCATAGTGACCTCCCGCCCGCTTCGCGACATTCAGAATTCTTTTGCGGGCGCTCAACACATTCGAAGGATTTCCATGGACGACATTCCACTAGAAGTCGCGGAACGCGATATCTATGCTTACGTGTCGGAGACACTCGGAGAGCTTCCGCAATTTGGGAAGAACGAGTTTACAGCCCTCGCCAAGAAAGCTGATGGTCTTTTCGAGTGGGCACGTCTTGCTTGCAAATACATCGAAGCACCTCCTCTCGGCTCATCTTCCGTTCAGTTCTTCAACGTCATCGTATCCCGCGATGGTGTCGAACGGGGGCACTTGTTGTACGATATGTATGACTTAATTCTGAAGCAGATCATACGAAAGGATAGACACACAGACCCCAAGTCTCAGCAAACACAGTTAGCGATGTTTCGTTCCGTGATGGGACAAATTCTTGGCACAGCCGAACCCCTCCCATTGAATTCCCTGAATGCCATGCGAAGCCATTTTCCAGATGAAAGCGAGCGTTACAAAGTGGAGGTCGTAGTAGAACATATGGGATCCCTCCTTAGCGGCACCACCAACTCATCCACCCCAATCCGACCTCTTCATGCATCCTTTCGAGACTTCCTGACAGATCAATCACACGCTGGAGAGTTCTTCGTCGACGTGCCGAAGGTTCAACGAAACCTTGCTTTCGCCTCGCTTGGAGTGATGAAAGATGAACTCTTCTTCAATATCTGCAATTTAAAATCATCTTATCTCCCCAACTCTGAAGATCCCGATCTGCGAGAACGAGTCAAAAAATACATTTCTTCACATCTATCCTATACCTGTCGATTCTGGCTTTCACACGTACCAGCCACTGCCTTTGATCCAGAACTCGCCAAAGAAATAAAATCACTCTTCGACCATGAACGACTGTTCTTCTGGCTCGAGACACTCGGCCTTATCAATGCGCTCAGCGGCGCAGTCCCCGCCCTTCCGCTCATTGCCAAGTGGTTGAAGGTGAGCACACGGTTATTGGGTATCAGATAACATACTCACTAATGCGCAATCACAATTACAGGGTTACACCGGATACGAAGATGTCTCGTCTGCTGCAACGGACGTGCAGAGATTCATTCAACTCTTTGCCGGCATGATCTTGCACAGCACACCTCATCTCTATGTATCAGCACTTCCATTCTCTCCCCTCAACTCTGTACTATCCAAAACGTTTTCTGCACGGTTTCCAAACTCTCTTCGCGTAGCATCTGGACGTGATATCAACTGGACGGCCGTTCAGACTGTGATCAGCGGACACACTGGTTGGGTTAACTCAGTCTCGTTCTCGCCGGATGGGACTCGCATTGCGACTGGATCGGGTGATCGCACTGTGCGGTTATGGGATGCAGCAACGGGGCAGCCAGTAAGCCAGCCCTTCCTGGGACACACCGACTCAGTTACCTCAGTTTCATTCTCGCCGGATGGGACACGCATCGTGTCTGGCTCGTACGATAAGACCGTCCGGTTGTGGGATGTAGCAACGTGGCAGGCTATTGGTGAACCCTTATCGGGGCATACTTCGCACATTAACTCAGTCGCATTCTCGCCGAACGGAACTCATATCGTTTCAGGTTCATACGACAAGACTCTCCGGCTATGGGATGCATCAACGCAGCAGCCAGTTGGTGAGCCCTTGGAAGGGCACACTGAATCGGTCACATCAGTCTCATTCTCTCCGGATGGGAAACACATCGTTTCTGGCTCGTACGATAACACCATCCGGCTGTGGGATGCAGGAACGGGGGCGCCTGTCGGTGAGCCCTTACTGGGGCACACTAGTTTGGTTACGTCAGTCTCGTTCTCTCCAGATGGGACTCGCATCGTCTCTGGTTCGGACGATAAGATTGTCCAGCTGTGGGATGTGGCGACAGGGAGGCCTGTCGGTGAGCCCATGGAGGGGCACACTGATTGGGTGAGGTCAGTTTCGTTCTCGCCAGACGGAAGTCGTATTGTGACAGGTTCGGACGACAATACTGTCCGGTTATGGGATCCAGCAACAGGGAAGCCAGTGGGTGAGCCCTTACTGGGGCATACTCATTATGTCCGCTCAGTCTCGTTTTCTCCGGATGGGACTCGCATCGCGACCGGTTCTGCCGATAACACTGTCCGACTGTGGGATGCATCTACAGGGAAACCAGCTGGCGAGTCTTTGCGAGGGCACACCAATTCCACTTTCATTATCTCAGTCTCGCTATCGCCGGATGGGACCCGCTTCGCCACTGGTTCGATGGATGGCACTGTCCAGCTGTTGGATGCAGCGACAGGTCGTCCAGTTGGAGAACCCTTGTTGGGGCATACTGGTTATGTCAGCTCAGTATCGTTCTCTTCGGATGGGACTCGCATTGCAACTGGTTCTGCAGATGAGACTGTCCGACTGTGGAACGCAGGGACAGGGCAGTTAGTGGGTGAGCCTTTCCGCGGGCACACTGGTGGGGTTAAATCTGTCTCGTTCTCTCCGGATGCGACTCGCATTGTTTCTGTTTCAGATGATCAGACAGTCCGGCTATGGGATGCAGGAACGCGGAAGCCAGTTGGTGAGCCCTTACTGGGGCACACTGATTGTGTTTGGTCAGTCTCATTCTCGCCGGACGGAACTCGCATCGTGACTGGTTCTAGCGATAAAACTGTCCGGTTGTGGGACGCAGGGACAGGGAAGTTAGTGGGTGAGCCCTTCCTTGGGCACACTAGTGAGGTTCGCTCGGTCTCGTTCTCTCCGGACGGGACTCGCATCATTTCTGGTTCGGACGATAAGACAGTCCGGCTGTGGGATGTAGTAACAGGGAAGCCTATTGGAGAGCTCTTGAAGGGGCACACTGGCAGGGTTTGGTCGGTCTCATTCTCACCAGATGGGACTCGCATTGTATCTGGTTCAGAAGACAATACTATCCGGCTGTGGGAACTAGCAACAGGGCAGCCAGTCGGTGAGCCCTTGCGGGGCCATACCGCAGGGGTCAACTCAGTCTCTTTCTCGCGGGATGGGACTCGTATCATTTCTTATTCATGGGATAGAAGTGTCCGAGTGTGGTATGCAGCGATTGGGAAGTCATTGCAAAACCATGCCGAAGAAGACTGTTCAGCATTCTCCCCGCACGGCAGTTGCATCCCAGATCCGACAGCGGCCACCCTCACACCCAACACTGCAAACGATGCCTTCATTTCCTACTCATCAAATCCAACTCATGCACTGCGCGACACTGCTGAGCTACTCACGGGCACCTCCTATGATGACCACACATTTGTGCTCGGAGAAGATGGATGGATAATGGGACCCAATCGTCGGCTCTTATTCTGGGTACCACCCACTTCTCGTAGACCATTTTATACTCCTCGGACTGCATTTTTGATACCCAGAGGTGTTGAGCTTGATTTAAGTCGCATGGCACATGGTACACGCTGGCAGGACTGCTACAATGAGTGAGTCTCCAGTGTTTTCCATTCCTCGCAGTCAATTAATCCGATGTTTATAGCTCTTCATTACGATAGCCTCGTTCCGGTAAAGTAATTGGCGGAGATGCCAGAGACACTTTGTGGAGTACGATATGGGATGTACAGTTGGTAATCTATCATTACATTCGAGTTCGGGGTGGTTTGACCGAACGATGTGTTAGAAAGATGATTGGGTGTCAGGTTTTCGAGAGCATAGAAGATTATAGAGCAACGATCCGAGAAAATGATAGGAACATGCACGGTTGGCCTGCTTAAGTACCTGAGCTTATGTGGCGAATAACAAATTCATTCATTCATAAATCACGACTCTACTAGAGCTCTGCGGCTGATGTTTACAATACACGGAACGCAAACTTAAGTCTAGTTGTCCGGCCAATTCGTCAGTAGTCTCCTTTCCAGGATTGATCACACATAGTTCCACTCTTTTAGTATTTCATTCCACGTACTTCTTGTGCTTCTTGTGCCAGCTCTCAATGGAATCACTGGGATAATCCTCGAACACATTCTTCCTTCCCTCTGGAAGGCGCACATAGTTAAGCTTTGAATTCAGTTTAAGAACAACCTTTGAAATCCATGCATCAGAGTAACCGCACTTGAGTGGCTAAGAACACTTACAAACTCATCAGGTGCCTCCAGTTCTGGCAAGTCGATAACTGATGCAAATGGATGCAAAAATTCAGGCCTTTATGTCGAGATACCTTGAGAAAAATTCGATACACAGATATCACTCAAGCACCCACCAGGTTTCGTCATAAAGCCATAGCATAGAAGAGCATTTCATGCAAAAATTGCGCTCAGAAATTGCGATATGCTCCTTTGGAGTATCCCTGTCCATCACAGCCTTATACACTCTTATTCTCGTACTCAGCAAGGAGGCACGGTAAGTTACGTGACTAAACTACGTACCCGATGTATTCTTTACCTTGGGTGATAATCAAGGTTTTGGAATGTGCACCAAGATTAATCGAACCGCCAACACCACCTACTTTGCGGCAAATGGAACATACACATAGCTTTCAATGTCTACGGTCACGAAAGATGGTAGAGGTTTAAGTTGTGGGTACGCTCACCTGATATGGAACAGGGGTGCTGCTTTTCACTGTAAATCGCACAGTACCACAATGGCAGCTCCCTTCAAGTGTAATTGGCATGGCGTCCGGGAGTATGTCAGTCAGGCCCCTGAGTCGGAGAAAAACCGGATTTCGTTTAATTTCGAGCTCCGCTTGAAATACTCTATATAAACAATGTCTTTTTTTGTGTGTTCCTCCAAGAAGGCTTGCCACGCTGGTCGTTTTGCAGGATTTCCACTGTCGACTCAGTGCCATGGACTCTACGAGTCTTTGTTTACCTTCGAGAACGAACCCACTATAGGAAGTGTCGCGGTGCCATCTTGAGGCCGTGGCATGTCGATTTTTCTCTGGGACATCCAAATTCATCTCCGTCTTTCTGTAATCTTGATTCCTACATAATGTGAGTCTTTGATTTTTTGTCCCTCATTGCGTACATGCAGGCTGTCCACGATGTTAAAAAATTATACTGATTTTAATGAATACGACCTGCTCGACAAGCAGGATATGACCTTCCACGCTTCTTCTGAGACTTTACCTTTTTCCTCTTATCTCATCTATTTGCTTCGATTGCTAATTACACCCATCTTGCAGGTGCTTGATGATTCTTTCCCTCATGTATATTACGCCACACGATTCAAATATTATTTCATATCCTCTAGACTGAGTGTGGCGTTTGTTCTGCGGGTACCTTTATAGTATCTGGGTGTGTATGTGATACTCCGCGGGTAACCGTCCCCGGCCAATCGGTAAATATTGTGACATCGAGCACATACAGGTTCTTGACTCTTGAGTAATGCCGCTAACTCCTTTAGATCAGTATCGTAGGTTCATACTACCATTAACAAGCTGATATCATCCATTGAAAAACGCGTGCTATTAGTCAGTCCTGGTCATTTTTTGTACCGTGAGGGGGTCATCTTTTTAGATCATTTCCGGTAACTCAGACCTTAGCAGTGGCCAGATTGTCGAACAATGAGAGCAGTCGGATTTGACGAGGCGTAAGTGCACAAGCCACCCGCATCAGTGAAAGCCAGATCGCTGTTTATCGTCGTCGGACACTCTTATGCACTTGCTCCAATTCCTTACTGTGATTCGTATACGTCTTTGTTGGATGCACGGTCAGAATTGTGTTTGTAGCATCGGGCATGATAGCTTAACAGAAAATTAGGTTTTAAACGGGAACCACGGATATACATAGGTGTCTGTGTGAATACCTATAAGCCACTCCCAGCCAACCAACGTTGTACCATGGTGAGTGCTTCTTTGGGTTTGTCGAGTGGGACCTGTCACTTTGAGTCAGCATTGCAATGAAGTCGAATGTGAGCTTGACACTGACCATATGGCCTGCACCATCCACAGTAGCAAACGTGAGCCCGTTTGCACTCCTAGTCTTTCCAGCGACTTTTCCATCAATTAGCCAAGACTCGAGGGGTTGCTGCCCAAACGCTTCTTTGCCGCTCCACTCCATGTTGAGCGTCCACGCCTGGTTACCAAGCCAGTTGCAGATCCAGTCATATGATCCCACATATATCAATGCGCGTACGCCGCGCTCAAGAAGTGCGGCAACGTGAGGGTAGGTTGGGTGATACTCATCCATAGCCAACGCGAAAGCCTGCCCAACGGGATCACTGCAGGAGCTATAGTTTCCTGTCACAGCGGGATCCACGCCGAGTTTCTGACGCACGGATGGTTGATCAAGGAAGTTTGCCATAGACCTAGCCTAAAGTTAGCTAGGCTGATTGCACGAAAAGACTGTCGGCTCACAGCGTAATGGGATAACATAACGTCTCCGCGATAGGTCCATCGCAGGCCTTGCTGAGATCGTAGGGATTCATGCCTACCGTAATATGAATATGTGCATGTAGACAGGGGAGATCGTTAAACCTACCGGTCGAGAAAAAAGGTTCTGATATCTCAGTGTCACAGAAGTTTGAAGCCGCTTCGCAGTTCATTAAATCGAATTGGTTGATGCATGAATCTGTCAACCACTTTTGGCATCGAGGGAGCTATGGAAAGTAGGTCAGCTTCCATCGACGTCATCTGTATGAAGGCACCGAACCGCTTTCTTCATACGATTACAGGCACTGGAAGATGTGTCAGTCAATAAATATTGATGTCAGAATTCACATACGAGATGCTCTGCACAGGGGAGACCGATGCGCCAGTGCATTGCATTTCTACATAGGCCGCAGTCATCGTGTAAAAGTCGGTCAAACCGTTGCCTATACGTGGGATAAGATAAGTTGATGAAATTGTTTCTGGTGCGAATAGTTACCGATCATGATAGACTGAAGGTTGATTGGCGTAACACCAGCCGCAGTTAACAAGGCATTCTGGTCGTAGACTGCAGCAGCGAAGACCGGAACGTAACGTCCCTTCAATTTCCCGATTAATCTTTCTTCACGCCGTAACGGTATGAACCATACGTACTCCATAAGACTCTCCAGCCATGTGAAATGCACGTCCTTTGAACTGAGTGAAGTTTTCGAAGAAAATCGCGACAAATGCAGCGATATCTTTCGAAGCTTCCTCAGTAGTACTCTTGCCAGACGGTTAATAGTGTAGTTTCATGCGATGGACATTCGACCTACCACGGTCTCTCCATAGTCTGCGTACGAGAAACCAACACCAATTGGCTGATCCACAAAGAAGATATTCGCATTAGAGTTCCAGGACTCGGGATGGAACACCGTGCTAGTGTCGTTTACCACTCGACAAGGTCCTAGTTCCACGTAGACGCCAAGGCTGGAGGAACACCCAGGACCTGATAAACATGTTGCATGAACTGCAACAGAACTCTCCTGCAGGAAAACTTACCACCATTGGTCCAGAAGATCACATCGTCTTTGGCAGGATCATTCCTACTCTCGAAAAAGTAAAAGAATAGATGCCTGGCCTGGATATCGATGTACCCCGTGTAAGCACTGAGGTTTAGACGCGTTATCGTACCAGTCCTAAACATCTGCAGACTATACTCACTTCACAGTTCCATCACAGAAATCAGAAGACTTTTTAATCCGAACACTATGGTTCGGGAATAAAGGATGGCCGAGGGTAGTAAATTGTGCCTCTGAGAGTGCACTGAGTTGCTCAACAGGCATGAACAACCCTTCGTCGTAAGGCGCTGTGAAAGACTGTGTAAACGACTTCATGAGCTGCCTTGAAGTTCCATAGTTGGGAGTGTCTAGACCAAGGAACGCTTGGGTTGTCGCGCCAGCTGCGAGCGCGAAACAGAGGGTGCTGAAAGCCCTCCTCTTGGTGAACATGGTGGTAGTGTAGACTTGAGAAAAAGAAGGCTTACGGCGCGCGTGATTCTCAATCGTGTTCTTTAAATTGACCATATAGGTCGCCAAGAGATCACGAGACCAGCATGGTACCCAGGCCCTTCATTCCTATGAGAACCCTTTTGACGGAGTGTGGGACACGGTGACGGTAGAAGCTTAGACTTCGGTAGCCCGGGTCCACTGTTCAGGTCCAGACTTTCTATGACGTTTAAATTCAGGTCAATTTGGCCTATAAATTCAGTGCTTATTGTACCATATTTCGCCATTTGTTATCAGTGGACAAATATGTCTAAACATATATGGCGCGGTACAACTTGAAGTTTAAGCAAGTGACGGGTCGTACAGTACTAGTACTAACGCACTTCTACGATCTCCCTCCTCGTCTACCAGACCCTCGCTAACTATCATAATGTCTCCTCCAACTTCTGGGAAAAGCAAAGAATCAGGGACTGCCCGGGTTCTGGGGTCTGGTGCATCTGGTTTGTACTTCGGTTTCGGTCTGCAATGCTAATAACGAAGTAGCTCACTGTGTCATGGCCACTAGGTGTCGCTGAGTTACTGGTATTTCATCCAGTTGACACAGTAGCAAAACGGCTTATGAGCAATAAAGCCAAAGTACATTTTTATTGTAAAACTCATTTGTTGCAATTTGTTGACCACCTTTTGACATCCAGGTATCCTTCTCAACGCTTTCCCCGATCGTGTTCCGCGACTACGCTACGGCTTCGTTGCCTAAAAAGCTCCTGTCTCTATTCCCCGGTCTTGGGTATGCAGCAGGGTACAAAATTTCGCAACGGATATACAAGTTCGGTGGGCAACCATGGTTCAATGAGATCATCACGCGAAATTACAAGAGCGAGTTCACGAGCGTATTTGGCGAGAGGAAGGGCAAGATGATGATGCAGGCAACTGCTGGCAGGTAGATTTGAATTTTCACGTGGTAAATGCAATGTGCTGATTGTTCCGCGCAGCTTGACTGGTATTGGTGAAGTTGTGGGTCATTTTTCACCCTAGCTTTCTGACTGGGTAGTAACGTTCTATCAGGTTCTACTTCCTCTAGATGCCTTGAAGATAAAACGACAAGTCAACCCCGAGGCGTTCCGTGGACGAGGAGTCCTTCGGATATTCATGGAGGAAGGCACCACCCTATACCGTGGATGGGGTTGGACCATGGCCCGAAATGCGCCAGGTTCCTTTGCGGTAAGTCTATTTCGGTGGCCATGTTCATCGTGCTGAACCTCTGTTTCAGCTCTTCGGCGCTTCGGCGGTGACGAAGGAGTACGCGCTTGGTGTCACTGACTATTCCAAAGCCACGTGGACCCAGAACTTCATTGCATCTATCGCAGGAGCTGTTGCGTCTATCACAATTGCAGCACCCCTAGACACAGTCAAGACTCGTATCCAAAATGCAAACTTCGAACAGAAGGTGCCTGGCCTAACGGTCGTGAGGGACCTTATCCGAAATGAAGGCCCTACAGCGTTCTTCAAGGGCTTGACCCCTAAAGTGATTAGTCTTTATTCTAGTTCAACTTCGTGCTAATGACTTGTGAATGTAGATTCTTGTCGTTGGGCCGAAGCTGGTCTTCAGTTATACCCTCGCGCAATCACTAATACCTTTCTTTGGGAAGTACGTATGAACGGTAAAACACATTCCCTAGTCTATGATATCTCGGTCCTGCTTAGCTTTGGATATGCCTGGTGCTTGCACATTGGCTGCAGCCTTGTTGACATTGCTACACTGATCTAAAAACGTCCAACTAACAATAATACACCCTTACAAAAAAAATTGTCAAGAATGAGCGTGGTAGCTTTGCATTGAACCTTTCTCGATGAATTTGCGGTCCTGCATGTGCAAATCTACTTAAGCGAAAAACAAAAATTTACTGTAAATATGACTGCATAGCTGGAATCTACGAAAAATATCTTTTCAAACATAAATCATGTTACCTATTCAAATATTGTTGATACAGCCCCGGCTGCCCAGGGCTGCCCTCGTAGTGATCGATCGATATTAAGTTCACTCGAAATCCGATGAGTCACACTATACATTGACAGAATCTAGATGAGTCTCAGAGGAACTGTTTATCAGAAAGAAGCTCACGGAGGCTCTGATCATGAGCGACTAGTAGTGCTGGTTGCTGCATGCAGGTACCTGATCCTGAAATAGTAGGCGGTAAATATGCGACACGTCTCAGGCTCAACAGTGTGCTTCAGTTCGGCAACGTGGATGACCTATGTGGCCGCACCGCACCGCATGCAACCTGCCAGGTCATACGATGGGCCTTCGAGTTTTTTAAATTCGATTCTTGATCAGCACTGCTTCAAGTTCCCCTAGGTCATGTCCGATGTGTCACCTCTACTGGGCAAATATTGCCCATGGCCTACATAGACTTGATATAGACCACGGATGTGACGGAACCCATTCTTCTTTCTTGACAATTGCGTAGCAATATGATACGATCAACATGCGATGCCAGGATCTACCAGTGACAATATTCGGAAGGCATCAAGGCCCGGCGAGACACCCCATAATCGAGAAAGAATGAGTCTCCCCTAGCTAGACTATGTAAAAGGAGAACAGCCCAATCTTTCTTCATATAGTCTGGCTAGGGACTCCCCGAAAGCCATCATGGCGATGTGATTCGACGAATCAAAGTAAAAGTTACGTCAGACAAAGAACTGGCCTTTTACTCAATATTGGCGCTCACCGCATGTCGAAACTCTCCAATATTAATCAATCCAGGCCTTGAACGATTACAGGTGAACGCTATCTCACATGCATACTAGAGGAAGACAAGGGTTCGCACTGGCAACATTCAATCATCGGAATACTTCTTAGAATTAGCGCTGTGAAAAGTTTTCTTGAATTCGCGCTGCGCGGGACAAGCCAGGCTCTAACCAGGGTCCAGGGTTACACATAATCGTTATTATTATGGTACGAGAATATTCGCAGAAGTCGCATGGACCACAGATGGCCTAACCAATACGCCGTTCATCGGTGCGAAAACGGGGTGTATAGCGCTTGCCAGGATAACTGCGGATCGCACTACACAGCGCCAGTGTCACGGTTTCGACTTTTAAGTCATTCGAACTCCAGTATGGCTTGTGGTATTTCAATGACTTCCTCGCGAGTGGCGTTTTGGAAACCACAGATAGACGCGAGAAGCTGTGATACTTACTGGTCGATGTGTTGCGGCATGAACCTGTGAATGGACGATTGGCGCTGCCTTGCGGAATCGATGTCTTCCACTTGCAGGACATCAAAGACTCGCCTACCTTGCCTACTTTTCCCTAAGCATCAGAGCAGCATACCAGTCAGTGAGTACTGGTCAACTTTTTCGTCCCTATAATTGAATCACCATTCGTGGCAGAGTCGGATTCATCCACCAGATTACTGTGACGAGCTATGGTTCTTTCCAAAGTGGTGGACCTGTAAGGAAGCTTCAACCGCAGCGCAAGCCAAAGGATCAACGTTGTCATCTCTTACGTCCCCCACTGCCAGACGGATCCATTCCCAGGATGCCAGAGATTTTGCCAGTCTGGGAACGGCCATACGAATCGATCCCGCCAACGCGCCCACCGCCGCCGTCGCCGCCTAACATCTCGCTGGAATGCTGCATGTTCATGCTCCGCCTCAACTCTGCCCGCCACCCTCCTTGCTCACCCATCTCCTACCCGCCCCTCTCCTTGCCCGCTTATCGAGGAGGGCGGGGCAGCCATGATGCTGTGTACGGCTGAGGCTGGATGATGAGAAGGCCAGCACATCGCAAGAACCAGCCAAGATCAATATATGACATAGAAATGTGTTAGAAATGAGCTCACTATGTTGCTATGGCATGGCAACAAAAAGACTCCCAACGTCCATGGAAGTAAGTCCTTAGTGCTATTGCACACAGTGAGCAAGCGTGAGAAACAGTGACGGGCACAGAAACATTCACACTCCGCTTGGAGGTGCCCGATGCCCTATACTTGGTCCGGACCGGCCATTTCAGAGATGGGCCCTCTGTCGCGTTCGCTCAAACTCGTCACTTACTGGGGCTCGCAACCATGAAACCAAACTCGTACCGGAAGGTAAAAGTGGGAGAATGTGCATTTGGTTCCCTGCACTCCGGCACTCGACCTACAAATGGGCCCCAAGTACTAATACTGCGCCAGCCCTGGAACCAGAATTCCAGCTTATCCTCCGTAGGATCCCCCAGATGTCCCTGTCGATGTTGCTGCTTGCCATGATCAAGACGACTGTAAAGTCAAGTGGTATGATGTATCACCAGGACCTGCAGCTTAAAGTCATTCGTGTATCACACTTTTTGCTACAGTACGAGTAAGTGATACATTATTCTCCCAGCTACTTGTGAGTAGGCAATCTTCAAATCGGTCCTGGCACGAAGAGTAACTTTGATTTGTAGAAGGATACAAGACTATTCTATATGTACATACATTAGTAACACGAAGACGGACAGGAAGTATTACGCGCAGGGAGCCGAATGAGAACTTGATACCACAAAGGACAAAGCAAGGAAGGCGGAAGGTCATGTATTTATCGTAATTATGCAACTCAAAACTTTCAGGTCTGCGTGAGACATGAATCACGTACTAACGTTCTAGTCGTAAGAATTAGTGCAGTGCGTGAAAGAAGTGAAACTGATCTCACCTCCAGAAGCCATGCACTAGGTGTTAGGTGTTAGGCTCCACACTTGTAGGGCCTTTTAGGAAGGAGCTTGATGATTCGGTCCGGCGGGACAGCATAGCGGGGGCAATCAAGATGCCATCGAAGTGAGCCGACCATCCAGTGTTGCAACCCTTCGATATAGATAGCCACCTGCCTGTCAACTTCTTCGCCCCACGAGGGGAGGATAGCACGGTTGGAGTCGAAGCGCTGGATGGCATCTTTGCACATTTGACCAGCGTAGTCCATGGCACCTTGCAGGTCTAGTCCTAGTTCGTGCATGATCATGGGAACTATGTTTTCCCAGGGTGCGTGACCGCAAGATTGCTCCTTGTTGTATGACAAAATATCCTGTCGGCGGTAATGTCAGCGGCTCCCCTGTGTTAAATGACAGCACAAACTTACGTTGTGCCAACAAACATGATCATTGGTCGCTTCCTCCAAGGCCTTCACAACTGGATGCGACATAACTTCGTCGGGAAGATCAATTCGAGCTACGAATTCGATGAGGCTAAAGCAG